TGCTAAGCTCCGATGAAAATGAATATTAAAAGGGAAGATATCATTCACAATGTCAACATCAATAAAAATGCCTGAGACGCAACAGAAAGTCTTGCTTCAGCATAATTATCAATTCTATCATTGGCATGGCAAAGCTGGGAAAGCCCAGGTGGGTATCAGTGAGAATATCCCTAGTAACGTTATTCCATTGAGTTGGGTTTTTATTTCTTAAAAACATTTATCAGATGCATATTATGTACCAGTGGTAGGGGTCCAAATGGAATAATAAAGATTCAATAAATCTCTGTCGTCTAGAGTCAAAATATTCATTTGAATACTGCTTTCACATTTAGTTCGTCACTACATCTCTTTTTGGATTTATTGGTTTTATTATTCATGTATATTAGGGTTTTCCATGCATACATGTCTATGTACCATAGAGTGCCTGATGCTCACAGAGATCCAAAGAGAGTACTGGATCTCCTGAGACTGGAGTTTCATACTGTTGTCAGACTCAAAATGGATGCTAGGAACTCAACTCAAGTCATTTGCAAGAGTAACAAGCACTCTTAACCTCTGAGATGAATCTTCACCCTTCCTCACTTTATCTTAAAGGGTGTCTTTGTATAGCTTTTCCAAAAGGTTACTCTGAGTGAGTCCAGTTTATTGGAGGAAGTGACCACAAAAAACTCCAGCAGGGATGTGTAAAGGCAAGATGGGAAATTAGGCTCATTAAAAAATTTAAAAAAAATTGTTAAACCAATTGGAGACAAATTTCAGAAGACAAGCATAGATGAGAGCTCAGATTCTATAAAGAAATAAAGAAGCTTGGGGTTTATCAGTTAACTTGTGTTTATTACTCATTGAAAACTTTCATTCAGAACATGAAAACACTAAGACTTTCGTTTTGGCTGACTTGAATAGAACTTGCTCCTGGGGCTGCAAAAATATCCACAGAGAGAAAAACAAATAAACAAACAACCCCTAAAGAAAACAAAAACAACAAAGACAAAACAAAAGTGTTTCCACTAAGCAACCACTTTGGCTGCAGCAATGAGTGCTTGAGAGATACAAGCATGGAAATGTTTGCAACCATGTATCATGGAAAAAAAACCTGGATAACTAGCAAAGAATGGGGTCAAAAATCAATGTCAAGAAAGAGAACTAGAAGAAAGGGAGGCATCTGTTAAATGGGATCATAATAGATGAAGAACTGCTAACTCTTTTCTCTACCAAATTTGCATGATAATGACTATTCTGAAACTTTTATGAAATTTAATGTAAGAATTGTTTTATTACTAGGTCAATAGCATAGACCCTTCAAATATGCATTGCCTGTTTGAAGAATTTAATGTCACAAATGAAAATCAAACAATTTTCTATTCTGATTGAACAGAGGAAAATGAGATTTCTCTATCAATTTTCATTTTTTAATTCATCAGGTAATGATGAGTTTAATATTATATGGCAATATGGGACTTCATATATATGTTCTATTTAATTAAGGATGTACATAGAATCATTCCAGCAGCTGGCTGAATCCACTCACACACTTAGCTATGAATAGTGGATAAATTCACAAGCAAGAGGGTGCAAATGTCACTTAAATTCTAGATACTCAACCTTTTAAATAATCATTGGTCTTTGATGATATTTGTACATTAGATTTGATGTATTAATACTGATGGGAGTTTACCTTATCACAAAGATCTTTAGATGTACTTGGAAAGATATAAAGAATCATCAAAGACATAATACATTTTCATAATCCCTTTTCAAGGCAGAGACTGGTTAGAATTTAATGTGACATAAAAGACCATTCTGTCATTACTCAGTCAATGAAGTCGTGGGATTTTCGAAAGAATCAATATAAAGAACTGCAACGGTACTTTATGTTACTGTGCAATGTCGAAGTGGGGGTGTTGGAAATAAGTGTATGCTCATTTACTGCTGAGCAATTCCTTGAGGGTCACAACATCACAAACCAGAAAGAAAACTCCCAAGATGTCATGGACTTCTGAAACCTGAGTTTGTTAATTTTATGTGTTAATTCAGAGAATGAGTGTAAGCAGAATTAGTGTTTAAATCAGTGAACTTTGAACAAAGCAAATAACATTCCATAATACAGGTAGATTACATTCAATAAAATGGCAGTCTAAATATAACAGGCAGATCAACTTCTCCAGGCAGAAGGAAACAGCAGCCTTTGGACTTCAACTATACTGAGGACTCTTCTGGATCTCAGTTTACCATACCACAATAACAATTTTGAACTTAAAAAGCTCCCTTTCTTTCCTGACCCAAATCCTTATAATTTAATGTTCAGACACATTCCTATTGGTTCAGTTTTTATGAAAAATGATAACCACTTGGCCAAGAGCTAAACTTAGACAAGTAATGTCTCTAAACACCAGAGTCAACAGTGTTCCATGTTTAGTCTATGGAGGGTCTGTAACACTTTCATGGGCTGCACTGCGGTAGATCCACTTGTCCACTCAGCAGACCAGAAACAGTAGCTAATATCTGCCAATAATCCATTTATGCATCATCATCTACTCTCACAAAGGTCCTTATAAGCCAAGTATTATTCCTACATTATAGACAACACTTCTGAGATTGCCACATGAGTTGTAATATCAAATACTTGCTTGGGAGCTGATTATTTAACTTCCCAAAGTGTCAGTCTTCTTCTCTGCTATACTTTATTACAGAGATAAGTCTTGTTTTCTCTCATGTAAAGCATACCTGGCCCAATACATGCTTTAACTTTGCTGTTGCCGCTATTATCAAACCTTTACAGCACAAAGTTTCACTAAGATAAGAAGCTATTGGTAAGAGAAAATCTATTTATACATTCAGTGCTTTATATTACTCCAAGATTAATTTCTTGTCTAATCAGTTTTCCTATTTTTTTTCTATACAGAGGGGTATGTTTCTTGGAATACCCTACATAAATACCAATGCCTGGTGTGCAAAGGCTTCCACAGAAGGTGGAATACTATTAATGTATTTCAAGATGGAGACTTGAAAGATATAAAAAGGATTTGACATCTGGCATGGTGACTCAATTAATTACTGTGTTGGATTAATTAGTGTGCCGAATCTCCTGAGCCAACAGCATGAGTCTGTGCAGAGCAACACCACACTGGTTGGCAAACAAGCAATTTAAATGAGTGTTCTTATTCAAATTCGATGCAACATTGTGTAAGGAAAGGTTAGTAAGCTATATATTTTTGATAAGAAAAATTTGTCTTCGTGTTATAAAAAACATATTGTAGTACTGTCCAAATTCAAAAGATTCAATGAAATTGCATAAATATTTGACTAATTACAAACTGTTAAGTAGTCTAAATACCATAACTAACAATTTGCCAAAGGTAAAGCAAACAAGCCAAACCTCCAAAGTTCTGTTACTATTGATTATTTTATTTTTAGACATTAAAAATCATTATCATGCTAAAAATGTACTATCAAAATTCTGCTGAAGAGGTAGCATTGGAAGACTTAAACACAGAAATTCTGGAATCAGTAGCAAGAGCTTTTGTCTTCTCATCTATGAAGCCAAAAACTGAAATACAGCACATCCACAGACATGCAAGGAGGGGTAATTGAACTAACTGATCCTGAAATTATACACTCTTGTCTAAATATAAATAAGCATTTATTACGTATTAGCAGTCTCTGAGCAATGACCGACCAGCATGGTTCAGGTTGCATTTAGTGACAAAGTCCTATTATGTTCTAGAGGAGACATGTTCTCAAAGGAAAATATTTTAAAAGTACACTCTAGTAAAATATCTAAATTTTATAACAAAAAGCTGTTGGCTACTAATACACATATAATTACAGGTTTAGACACGAAGATGAATAAACTGAGGTAGTAAGCTATTTATGTAGAGAATTATTGGCCACAGCTGATCTGGTACCTCAGAAGACTCATATGCCTCACAAGTATCAAAAATACTGAACGGTTCAAATATAAACTGAATAATTTAAAATATTAAACACTGCATAGAATCGGTTTGGAATGGTAGAGGAGAGTTAAAACCATAATATGATGTCTTACAGGGAAGCAATGAGGAGCTAAATTTTCACAAGTAGGTTTATTTTTTTATATATCACAATTTAACAGTTGGTAATAATAATGCCATGAAACTACCATCCTGTGTGTTTACACATATATATGTGTATATATGTATGTATGTGATAATACAAAATTTAATTACATGTTTCTCTTTAAGATATATTATTTTGACATAACAAACGAGAAAACCCTCACTAGTTCATAAATGAACCATAGGTGCCATTTCAATGCGGAAACTATTGACAGGATATCTGAGGAATGTCAAGAGGTTGTGGTGGAATCTGGTGGCAGTTTTAAACATGATCTATATCTTCATTCTCAGATGCTCATTAAGTGGAGCTAGGAATGAGTAGAGACACCTGGGTGAGACGGAAGACTAGGGAGTCTACCTCCTGCTTTTTTAACCCTATTAGCTATAATATCTTCATATATTCTATGGATAACTAATTTCTCTAACCACAGTGATTATCCATAGAATTGGTTATCCATAGAATTAGTTATCCATAGAATAACAATCAGGTGACTTTTCTGACCTCAGAACTCTAATAAAAATGTTCACACAACTTAGAATGATCCTCATTCACCCATGCCCTTATAGTTACAGACAGTGTTATGAAAGGGTAGCAACGTTCTTTAGTTCTTACCCTTTATGTACCCCTATTAGGTGTGGTATTGAATTTGCGTCATCTGAAAACTAAAGGTGCGTGTACATAGTGTTAAACGTGAACAGTCTCGGTGTGACTGAGCAGACACAGCGTGAGCTGGTAAGTTGGCACACTATCAAACTAAGCTTTTTCCTTTGAGATTATTCATACACTAATCAGGGACAAACAATTGAAAAATGTTTTGAAATCCATACGATCAACAAAAAACAAACTTTTTCCTCCCTGAAATTTAACCGGGAAGCAAGCAGAGATAAAGGTAAGAGTCCACGTACCAGAGAATTATTATTGAGGTCCATCCTCCCCGAGAAAGGGCCCCAGGTCGTTCCCACCGGAAGCTGCTGCCGACTCTGAATCTTCCTTTCCCCATCTCTCTGAAACACTTCCAGTTCGCCTGCAGATATGAACACACGGGCGATTAGAAATCTTACACACACACACACATACTAACAATAGCACCTGTTTTCCATTTGCTCTACACATCCAATGTTTTCAGGATTCATATAAAGAAAATTAAGTATGTTTCCCTGAAAAAAAAAATAGCAACCTTGGTATTCTTTAAAGAAAGACGGCTTGTCTTACAACTGTATTCAAATCAGTCCAGCTTCTTTTCTTCACTCTCCACACTCATTATTCACTGAAGCCATTCCAAAAAAAGGCAACATTTCATTAAAAATCATTGATCTAATTCTAAAATAGAAAGAAGACTTTGGAGAATAAATGATGGGTAAAATTCTTGCATCTACTCAAAACTTTTGAAGAACAATAATCTGGAGAATGACAATTTCTGGAATTCCTACTAGTTTCAATGGATAAAATAAGTACACATGCAGTAAGCAATGCATATTATTTTTCTCAAGTAAAATTGTTTTGGTAATCCCCCCTTTTTCTCGTGTGTGTGTGTGGGGGGGTAAGAATAGTCAGTTCAATACTAAATCTGCTTAGACAAGAGAAATATTTTGAAATCACTAATGGGAAACAAAAAAATAAAGACATTACAAACATTTTATGAATTATGGATTAATTGATTACTTGATTAGCTGACACGTACCTACAAAAATAAATAAATGAATGAATAAAAACTAAATGAGGCCCACAGATTGACCATGGTTTAAGAAGAACAAGAATTCTCACCCAGAATTGGTGATCAATCACTATTTTTACTCCCAAAGTACTGTTTTGTCATATGACAATCGAAATTTTTAAAATACTATGTCATTAGTATAGTTTAGTGTTTCATGTCTGGGTTTCCTCTCAGATTGTGCAATAGCAGATTAAGCATTGTGGTGCATGCCTTTAATCCCAGCATTCAATGAGGCAGAGGAAGGCAGCTCCCTGTGAGTTCAAGGCCAGCCTGGTCTACAAAGCAAGGTCAGGAGAGCCAAGGATACAGAAAGAAAACCTGTCTTGAAAAAAAAAAAAAATAGGGATTATTAAATAAAGAGAGCTGCAGACTGAAAGCCACGCAGATTAGAAAATAAGAAAAAATTTAGCTGGAGCTCAGTGCATCCTGCCATGACTGCCTCAAATTGCCACGTTTCTATGTATACGTGGGAAACCTGTTAAGGGCTATAGTTTCTGTCTTCACAGTTTTAAAAGTAACCCCATCAAACTGAGCTCAGTGACATTTCTTCCCTGTTTCTTTGTTATCTGCATCACCCTCTTTTAATTACGTAACCTTATCTTTTGTGCTCTTACTATTGCCCTCCCTAAATCACTGCAAAATTACACAAAACTTTCCTGTACTAAAATATAGCACAATGTGTAACATGTTTCCATTATGAAATGCAAATTCATCTGTGTTTCTAAAAGAATGCTCGTAATAATTTCACATTCTAACCATTGCCCCCTCTTCCCATACTCCCTCCCCTTGGCAACTGTTTTAAGAATGAAAGAAATTGTGGCACATTTACACAATGGAATACCTCTCAGATATTAAAAACAAGGAAATCATGAATATTTCAGGCAAATGGATGGAACTAGAAAAGATCATCCTGAATGAGGTAACCCAGAAACAAAAAGACATGCATGGTATATACTCACTTATTAGTGAAGTGAATATTAGCCATATAATATAAGAATAACCATACTAGAATCTACAGACCTAAGGAAGCTAAACAACAAGGAGGACCCTAGGGAGGATGCTTAAATCTCATTTAGAATGGAAAACAAGATATACACCAGAAGTGGTGGAAGAGAAGAAGCAGGACAGGAGCCTACTATAGAGGGTTCTCTGAAAGACTCCACACAACAGGGATCGTTCTCTGAAAGACTCCACACAACAGGAATCAAAGCAGATGCTGAGACTCACAGCCAAACTTTGGTCAGAGTGCAGGGAGTCTTATGGAAGAAGGGGGTGGGGGAATAGAAGGACATGGAGAGGACAGGAGCCCTACAAGAGACCAACAAAGCTAAAAATATCTGAGCCCACTGAGACCTGGAGAGACTGATGTACCAACCAAGGATCATGCATGGAAAGGACCTAGACCCCCTGCTAAGATGTAGCCCATAGACAACTCAGTTTCCATGTGGGTTCCAGAGTAGTAGAAGAGGGGCTGCCTCTTATAAACTTGGTTGCCTGCTCTTTGATCACCTACCCCTGGCAATGAGGCCCTGCCAGGACACAGAGGAAGAGAATCCAGACAGTCCTAATGAGACTTGATAAGCTAGGGATAGATGGCAAGGAAAGAGAACTCCCCCTTTCAGTGGACCAGGATGGGAGAGGAGGGAGGAAAGGTGAGACCTGGGAGGAGATGAAGGATGGGACTACAATCGGGATATACAATGGATAAATTGTATATAATAATAATAATAATAATAATAATAATAATAATAATAATTACAAAAAAGAATGAAAACTCATCACATTATATAGTTACAGATCTGTCAATGTTTCTTACAAGACCAGAGCAGAGACCAATAATGATCAGAAATGAGGAAAATAAATCCAGACTTCAAAAATCAGTTTTATAAAAAGAATACATTGGTGGAAATAACACCAGGACTTATATGCTAAACTCTGAAGTGTATTCAGAATGTGGGATTGTAATAATATTTTTGGTACGTGAAATAACTGACCTACTTCTGAAATTTTCTTCTGAAAGAGTTTCAAACTCTGTACAATAATTTTGATTAATACATTGGAATCAGCAGTTTTCCCTGGAAAATTTGTCAAAGACAGAGTAAAGCTAGCAATGTTTTTCAAGGAAGCAGTGTTAGCACTTGAGCCCTGAAGCTACTCTAGGAATCTATTTCAATGTCAGTAAATAGTGCAGAAGATGTCTTTCCATTTATGCATATCTTCTTATTTATACCTTTAAGGATAATTTTTACATTTACAGGGAAAATATCTAACTTCTCTCAGATAAGAATTCTACAAATTTCAACTGTTTACATTTAAATAATACCTTCATCTAAATAGTATTTAATAATATTTATTTGTACATAAAGGATGATGTCCAAATAAATTTGCAATGTTTATAATTTTTAAAAGGCATGTCATTTTTAAGTGATACCAGAGGAATCATGAAAATCTTTGAAACCCTTTTTAAAAAGTAATTCATTCTGTCCTTCTGCTTTTGACATATTTCATTTGGAAAGGATTCTGCTTCAGTCAAACAGTGACTCTTATCTACACCTGTGGATTAACAATCAGGACTATCTTTAATGGAATAAGAACCTGAACTTAGGACAGATCATGAAGTAATATCCAAATACCTCCTACATTGTCAGATGTCTGTGACTATGCATCAAAATTTTTAACAGACCAAAAATCCTTTGTGAGTTCTTAAACACGACTATTACAAAATACCCAGTAACTGTCCAAGCTCTCAACTCAACATTTTTTGCTTCATTAGACAAGCAGGCAAACACCAGTGTCCTTCCTTGCTTACTAAGAAGCTATTTTGAAGTTTGCGGCAACTCTTGCCTGTTGCCAAAACTGTTTATAAATGAATCATTTATTTGTATCTGTATTTACAAAAAGCCACAGCAGAGCATAAGGTATTAATATGTATTTAATTTCAAGAAACAACAAATATATGATATTAGTGATTAGAAATTATATTTACCTTACATGTTATTTAGAGTATGATGTTTTGATTATTTTAACTAGTAATAGGCATTATGTAAAGTATTATTTTCTTAAAAGTCTGATGCTTTTTATCCTAATTCTGTCCAATAACCAGCTGAACAGTCCTTAAAAAGTCCTTGTTAAAATAAGAACTTGAAATGTAAAAGAAAAGCTCCAATTCATACCTAATCTGTGGCTCATTTCTTCATGCTTCCATTCATTCATTCATTCATTCATTCATTCACCATACAAATATTGATTTGTCTTCTGCTAAGCACAAGACAAGAAGTCAGGTTCAGACATAAAGCAACAAACACAAACCTGGGCCTGGAATATAGTGCAGGTTATGGGGTCTGTGTGGATTGGGTAGATAAAATGATAGAACTAAGTTGCTATTTGTATTTTAGGAATTAGAAGAAAATTCCAAGGATGAAATTCAAGTTTTCAACTTGTGAGCATGGGCTTTTGTTCATGTGCCTTCTGAGAAGCTGAGGGATTGAATTTTGGTTTGTTAACACTTTGAACTTAAGTTGTTGTAGACAGAAAAAGAAATTGCAATAGCCAATTATTGTCATTCTAAATATGTAACAAATTTTAGTACTTCACCAATTGTTTGAATCATATCATCCCAATGTCCACCTCTCTGTGTTCACATCTCTCTTTGACTCCTCTACTCAAATCACTTCATATTTTCACTTATCTTCCTCCTCCTATCTCCCAGATTTGCCTTTCTTATCAGAAAATTTCAGGTTTGCATTAATTCTCACTGAGTGACTAACCAGCTTCCATTGCAGGCTCTGTGCCCTCCAGGATAAGCTTATTAGAATTCCGCTCTCACTGAGTCAGCCTTTTCGGCGAGATCTTGCAGTCTCTCTCTTTTGACCTCTGAAAGGGACTGTCTGTGTCACCTCAGTCCTTCCATGAGGCTGCCCTCAACTTCTGCCAAGTGATGGGTTCTCCTGCTCTGATGAGTTTGTTCTTCCCACAGAGACAACATCTTCCTTGTCATCCCCTTTTCCTCATCTCCTGCTTAGCCCCTGTTCTGGGAATTGCTCCTGCTACCCAGTAAACAGCCACCATGCTTTTGTCTTAACAGACCCTATCAACGGGACATGATCAAGCACAAAGCTATTTTTTTAAACTCATTTTGAACTGCATTTCAAGTCTATTTAATTATTTCTTTGTGCTTTTTTTCCTCAAAATTTCTTTTACCTTAACAAAAATATCAACAAGTTGATCCACAGGGTTTTATAATTTTTACCTCCGGATAAGCAATGGTTTTTGGTGTGTAGTACTTAGAAAATAGAAATTTTATAAAATTA